TCTATTCCTCTTAACCAAGCTATATACACATCATCATATCACATTTATCACTTCACACCATAAAGATTACAAACCAATCGCATACTATCATGCAAGGTTCTTTTATATTATTTCCTTTATTAGCCCATGTACACATGTGAGAACCATAGATATGTGAGTCTATAGAGGTTGTGCACTAATGCTGTCACCACAGCTCATATAAATTGCACCGAAGTTCCATATAAGGTTGTCCCTAAGGACCACATATCATTCCTTAAGAATCATATACATATGCAAGGATCAAGTATGTGTCTCAAAAGACCTCACACATGTTCCAAGGAATACATATATGTCCCTAAGGACCACGTAGACCCTCGACTCTTGGCATGCCAACTATACCCCTAGCTCTCAAGACACATAACATGGGCATCTTCTTTTATACTTATCATTTCACATAACACATAGTTCACTTTCACATATCACGTAGCTTATATAACTTTTCGTGTCATTTTACATTTCTTGAGACCTTGCTTACATTCTATTATTATGACTTCTCATAATTACATATACACATAATCTTATAGTTCATTCACATAGCTCATCATAAATTTTTATAAGATCACACTCATTCACGTAGATCATTTCCATATAATTCACCTGTATCTATTTTGTTTCTCATATAATCACATAGTCTTATAATATTTCATACTACCTCATACATCACATCACCTAGATACATACTCAAATACTCATAGTTATATAGTATTTAAATTATTCCTATTCACATCATTCATGGTCATATAGCTTCCATCACAAAAGTCACTTATTTTATCTCTTATTCTCATGTATTCATATTTATCATATAACACATAACCTATGTCATATTTATAAACATGTATTTTATATTCTATGTGCATATCATCACTTTATATCCAAATCTCCTAAGTGATATATTATTCTCAGTTCCTTTTATAGTTCAGTCTTATCTAGTTTTCCTCCATTCTCCATAAATCTTACAACTCTAATGCACAATTTCCCATAATTGATCATATCATTACTTACTTGTCTCATTTATGTTTCTATTATTTATATAACCTTTACACATATTTGCCTAATTCAGTTCACATACTTATCACATATGCAAGTCTTCTAATAAATTATCATCAAAAGCTCCTATAACATCTTCCTATAACTTCATAGATCTTTACCATGTAATTGATCTTACATATCCCTATAACCAGTTCTATCAATATCTCCTAATATATATATATATATTAATCTCATATTATTCTATAGGTCAATGTTATTTAACTTATCTCACATTTTATTTAATCCCTTAAGTTGATTCCACCAATTCCCTTATATCTAAATCAGGTAATTTATATCTTGTTCCATATTTTATGTCACTTTCACTTGTTAACACATAAGTCGTGGTTACTTTACATAATTTGTGATCCTATAACTTATATCTCATGTTCATATAGCTCATATAACAATTTTCCTATAATACATAAATCATTGTCATATAACACATATCATATAAATTCATACCACATAACATATAATACGAACAAAACATATTCACACAATATCAAACATAATCATACTTCTACTCCTACAATCATATTGGAAACAGACTTGTCGCAAGTCTAATTTCCATATACAATACGTATATTATAATAATACGCACTCACCTGGCCTCACTAGTCAATATCGATCTCTTATCTTTTCCTTGATCGATCTTACTTGCTAAATATTACGGAATTGCTTTACGCTTAGAATCTACATAAATGTACATTTTAAGGCAATTATTAGATACCTACACCTTGTAATTGGATATTAGCAACTTAAACGAACCTATTAAACCAATATTCATAACTTTTCTTTAGAGGGGGAATCGGTTCCCCTATGACATTCTGTAATTTCTGGTTCGGTTGAGGGGGTACCGATTCCCATTGAATGGGTACCGATTCCCATTGAATGGGTACCGATTCCCATTGAATGGGTACCGATTCCCCTAGCCCATAAATCATGTTTTGAGCTCGAAAATCACTTCATTTTCAGCTCCACACTTCCTATTTCACTTCCTTTAATATTCTTAACTCATATATACATACTTAAACTAATTTATACCCATTTATTTTATCTTAAACCTCAAAATTCTATTATCCATATAGAAATCAATAATCACACCAAATTTTCCATGTTACTCAAACTTAATTCTAACACTTCTAGCTTCTCATTCTCATAGATGACAAGCCAAATTCATCCTCTAAATTCATTTAAACCTTCTTATTTAAAATTTCACTTAAAAACTCCAATCTTTGATCCATATTATCTTTTTCATCTTATAGTTTTAAGATAACTTAAGCTTTCCTTTAGCTTAAGTATCATCTTATGATTAAAACCCAAGCTTAATTTTAACTAAAAACCAACTAATAAGAAATCTCACCTTTGCTCTTGGCTTCCACACGTGAAGAAGAAATGAGAAAAAGAGAACTCTGGAAACTAGAACCTTGCTCCCTTCATTTCCACGTGTTATATCCTATATAAAGGAGGAAGAAAAAAATCTTTCTTATGAAATTACCATTATACCCTTCATCTAATCCAATAAGGAATTATTCATATCTAAATCATTAAACTTTCAACTATCCTACTTTTATCCCCAAATTCTAAAATTTTACCATTTAATCACTAACCCGGTATTGAGGATGTTACAGTAATAATCTTTATCTATTCTCATTCAATTCTGAGAAAGATAAGGATTGGGTAATGAAGAATGGCCCATGGCATAGCTACAATAAACCCTTGTTGCTTAGGAAATGGGAACCGAACATGTCAAAACTGAATTTTGACTTATCTAGAATCCTTATTTTGGTACATTTATTCAATGTCCCTCTAGAATTGTTTTCGAATGTAGGCCTTAGCTATATTGCAAGTTCCATAGGTTTCCTTCTTTCTATGGATTTTGTCATTGCGATTAAAACTAAACTCGAATTTACGAAAGTTTGTATTGAGATTGGGGCAACTGATATAATCCCTAAGTACATCGATGTTATCCTTAACAATGGTCAAACAATCTCAATTATTGTTGAAGTACCGTGGCTCCCTCCCTGTTGTAATAACTGTAATATGTTTGGTCATAGTACAAAAGGATGCAAGCATAACTCAAGTTTTTCCCAAACCTCAAATCTTATTTAGAGGAAAAAAGACACTGTCACCTCTTCTACACTGACTCCAGAGGCAGTTTGTACTGAGGATAAATAGGCTCTTAAATCTGTAGTTCCTGAATTGTCTGTGAATAGTCTTTGTAAGGATAATGTAACATGAAATCTATTAGCTTCAGACCCTTCCTTTTCTTCTATCCTGGTTTCAGAGACAATTTGTACTGAGGAAAACCAAGTCCTAAATTCTACTGTTCCTGAATTGACTGTGAATAACTCTTGTAAGGATAATGTGGCAGAAGAAAATGCTAAGCTTCCTGATCTGTTAGGCAAGAATGTTGATACCATTCCAATCCCAGCAACTACTAAGAGAGGAAGAGGAAGGCCATCAAAAGAAAACAAAGTCTTAACAGGTTCTGCTAATCGATTCGAAATACTTAATTCGATCGATGAGGTTCATCATTCCTCAGAGAACCAAGATAAAAAACATAGAGCTGCAGCTTCAGGTGTGGCTGATCTGATCAAAGAGCTTAAATTAAAAAAGAAGACTCACCTCGACAAGTCTAAGGGTTCTATAGTTGGAAGTAAAGAAGGGGACTTGGGCTCCTCTTCACAAGGTAAATGATTTCTGGAATGTAGGAGGGTTAAACAACCCATCTTAAACAAGGCAAAATCCTTAAAAGGGCTGTAAAAAATAAAGTTGATATTCTCTGTTTGATGGAAACTCGAGTGAAAGTTGAAAAATCAGCTGACATCTTAGCAACATCCTTTGAGACTTGGAATGTTCTTAATAATTACGATTATGTAGAGAATGGAAGAATTTGGTTTTGTGGAGAAAAGATATTGACCTCACATTATGTTATGGTTTGGCTCAAAGCATCTCAGTAAAAGGAATGTTCCATGAAGATCCCTTCATTATTACTGCAATCTACGGCAGTAATAACGGAATCACGAGAAGGCAGCTTTGGATCGACCTTAGACATATATAATCAAACTTTTGTAAACCAAACAAATTTATTCTCAAGAGAATCAAAATAATCAAATGGATTGAATTGATAATTTTTATAGATTATTAGATTATGTATATATAATTAATAAAATAGTTGAATTGATTTATTCTTAATTGGATATTTAATTCCATATAAATATAAAATAAATTCAAAAGTTTGTATGATTTAGATTTTCAAAATCAATGCTCAACCCATATTAATTTTTAAAACATTCTATTAATTCAATTTAATCTACCATTTGTTCACTCTATATTTAGATAACCATTGTCACATTTAGGACTAGATTGAATACAGTTCGATTGAGTAATCACAGTAATTAATAGATCACGTTGAACTGAATGTAATTAATTCATCCTAATCACACTTTCGATTCTTAAGGGGAGTGTAACAATTAAAGTTTATCATAATATTTTAAAAAAAATATCATCTAATCCTATTAAATTATTTTTAATTATATTATATCAACTAAATATGTATAAAAAATAGTATAATTATTCTCTTTCAATTATCCTATTCCTATAGTGTTAAAACATATCAATAATTAACACTATTTATTAATGATGAACAGATTTGAATTTGAATTTTTTTTAATAAAAAAATAGAGTATTGAATAAAATAAATGGAGATGTGATAAGTACAGATTTATTAGGTTTTTGGAAGATTGGTTTTGAAGTGGAAAGAGGTCCCATGACACTACAAGTGATATTTCTGCATTATCTTTTCTGCAACACCACCATTTCCCCTTTCTTATGAATTCACATGTTGAAAGTGAAAAATGAAGCCAGAAGAACAAGTATGCTTGAAACAATTACCATTTCCAACACACACCACAGGTCTCTTTCTTTCCCTCTTCATTATTGTGTGGAATGAGATTTTGAATCTCTTTCTCAACTTATTTTTTTAGCCCAAAAAATAAATAATAATCAAAATGAACCACATAAATATATGCTACACCTCCACCCATAAGTGTACTTACCTCTAAACATCACTCGCACGACCCCATGGAAGCCGCTTCGCTGCCTACGATTTCGTACTCATCCCCTTCATCATCTTCTTCTTCTTCGTCATCGCCGTCGTCTTGGTTTTGATCGCTTTCTAAGTCTTCCATTCCGTGATCACGTTGGTGGTGCTGTTGATAAGGCTCGGAAGGAGGAGGAGGAGGGAGCCATTGCTGCTCGGGGAGTACCATCAAGGGAACTGAGTTTTCGGGTTTTATTTGATTGGAGGAGCTGTCATGTTTGTTCTTTTCTCTGTATAAAGCATCAAGTTGGTGAAAGTAGGGACATGTTTTGGAATCATCGGGTCTTGTCTTGTGGTTATCTTTAACCTTCTTAAAGTACTTGTTTATGTTCTCCCATTTCTCTTTGCATCGTTTGGCATTGCGATTGTAACCCAACCTTTTCATTGCAGCTGATATCTCCTCCCATAATGGTCCTTTTGGACCACTGTCGTGGTATTTATTGTCCAGCCTATTCCTTAGCTCAATCAATGCTTGAACCTCCACTTTAGGCCATCTCGATGGGCTTGGCCTGTAACTTGGATCCCCATTCTCCGTCTTTGACACAGATAAATCCAGCGGAGGCTGTGGAGCAGGCACTGCTGCTGCAGCCGCTGGTAGTGGCGGCAGTGCTTGTGCCACCGTCTGTATCGACGGTGTTGGCGGTGGATTATTTAATTTATTTTGTGTCTGGCCCGGGTTTTGCTGGTCGGATATTTTTTGCAGGAACGCCTTTAGAGCTGCATTCTTTGCCGCTGCTATTGATCTTTCTTGGGCTAATAATTCGCGTTCTCTATTTATTCTCGCCATCTCTTGCGTTCGCCAAGCTTCTTCACGAGTCATTCTTTCCTGCTCGTGTTTCTCTAATGCTTCCAGGAATTTCTTCTGCATCTCCTCCTGCTCTTGAACCACCTGCTTCATTAGCTTCTCGAAAAAGCCCTTCCATTTTCGTTTCCTCTTCCTTCGACCTTCCAATTCTAAATCCGAAGACGTCGATGAGGAGGTCGAATCCGACATTAGATCTGCGGAGATATTAGGAAAAGAAGGAATTGTAGGGTTTATGTTTATCGGTACAATGTTTTGAGGCAAACTGGGTAGTACTGTTGTTGCTGATAGAAAAGTGACATTATTAGTCTGACTCGGAGGATTATTAGCTGCTGCCATTGTCGCCTGGGGCTGAACTGGAGGCTTTAGTATTGGCGGCGGCAGCGCTGCTGCAGCTGTTGCTGGGGAGTGAGCGGAAAGATGGGTTTCCAGGGCTAGAAGTTGATCGGAAAAACGATAAGTCTTGCCGTCTGATTTACCAGTTCGGCCATCTTTGGTCCTCTTGTGATACTTGAAAACATTCTCGAATTTCTCCTTGCATTTCTTGGCACTTCGATGATACCCAAGCTCTGCTAGTTTCCTGATATCGACGTTAGAGAAAACTTATACTTCAATTCAGCAGTAAAAAAAAAAACCCCCAAACGCTGATTCCCACGTAAAATAAACTACGAACTGAATTTCACATATAATCCAAACAATAAAATTTTAATAGAAGCATAAAGAAGAACTATGTTAATTGGGAACTGATGACGGGAAAGTAGAGAGAAATGGACTAAAAATTATGAGCAAAATCCAGCTTAAGATTCCCTGTGAAAATATTGGGAAAAGCAAATGCCAGAAATGATAAAAAAATCCAATACCCCCGAAATGTCCAAATATCTTAATCATATGGACACTGAAGATGCTTAAATTCTCTCAACTTGAACTTATAAAGAGAAAATAAACAGAAAGAATACAATTCGAAAACACAGATCTCCACTCATTAAACATAAACGAACTTCAAATTTTCCATCGAGTTATCTGAAAAAGGGAATAATTAGTAATAATAATCACCTGGAAACCTCTTCCCATAATGGACCCTTGACGCTAGCGTCACGAAAGGTAACATCCATGTCCGACCTTATCTTCAAGAGTGCCAAAGTCTCTTGCCTCGGCCACCGGTTGCCCCCGTAAAAACGCTCGCCTTCCTCAACCCTAACTCTCTCATCGTCACCCGAATTGCTATTATTGCCATTGGAGCCAAACATGTTGCCCGCTACGACGGCACCATCTCTTTCAGTACTGCTTCCATCACGAGCTCCACCGCTGCTAACCATAGAAGCAGCGGCGACGTTACCATCGCCGCCGCCGCTCCCAAGAGCACCAGCAGTTGTGTCACCACCACCCATCATATATGATTTTGCAGATACGACAACTTCGTTTATTTCTTTCACTTCTTTACCCCCACCCGGCAAGAGCTTGCGATTTACTTGCAGCTTTCAATGAAGAAAGGGGAAAAAATAATAAACTAATATGAAAAAAAAAATGAACTCTGTACGCCTCTATTCGATCCTATCTCTCTGAACAGAGAAAAGAGGGTGGTGAATTGCTTCTTCGTTTTCAAAAATAGTTTTTGTTTGGGTGAATTTATTAGTAATTTGTTTTTGTTTGAGGGATCTGCTTGTCAATCTCAAGATTTTTCCTCATCCATTTTTATTGGAATCGTAAGGATTTAATTTTATTTTTTTAAAAGACAGTCTGTTAAAAAAGTAACGAGTGGTATGGGTTTTATTGATTTATGAAATAATATATAGGAATTTATAATTTTTTATATTGATTTGTATAGATATAAATAAAGCATAAAATTATTAATATAATAAACTTCGAAAAAAAACATAATGCATTTTAAATGCATACATCAAATATATGTAACAATTTAGGTTGAGTTTTAGAATTTTATAATTGCAAGAAGAAGATAATAATAATAAATAATTTTAAAAAAAATGAGACATTGCAGTGGGATCCATTTTTGAAATAAAACATGTTATACGTTGTAGGTCATGTTATTAGGGGCCAAACCATTTATGAATCGATGTAAATTGGTGTCCATTTTCTGTTAGGTTGCAACCTACCGTCATTATTATTATTTCCATGGCTATAAATCGATCTTAAGCCCCATCAATTTTATCCATGATTTGGATTTTTTTAAATGAATGTTATTATGAAAAATTGGGACCATTTAACTTGGTTGGGTCAATTGGATTGTTTCACTAATCCTGTCTTAAGAGAGGTGACTTGTACCATACAATTAGTGTGGGATGTGACTCCCACGTCCAAATCAATAAGTTTAAAAAATTGATAATTTGTTTAATTCAGATAATTTTAATATGATGAAGTTATCAATTTTATTTTTTTAATATTTTAAAATTATAAAAAAATCAATCTAACAGATTAAATTATGAAAATTTTAAATTAAACATTTGTTTTATTATTATTTAAGTGTTGTTAACATCGACCCGCATGAACCCATCGAGAATATAACATTACATTATTTTTCTGTTACGTAGTTTTCAAATTCAACGGCCCTTTTGATTCAGTGCAAATGCCCTATGAGTTGTGATAAGGTTATTGATAGCTATTTCCAACATTATTTTTGGAAAGAGATTTGTCATTTCATGTTCAGTTTTATTTCTTTACTTAATCTCTGTTAAAAAAACAAATAACGTCTATGATTTATGTTTCAAGTGCGATAATTCAAGTTTTCTTATTTTAATAAAACTGAGATTTAGAACTGGATATTTCTAATGTGTTTTACTTCATATGTTTCTTAGTAGTGTATAAAAATATGTTCAAGGATTTTATCTTAATTTTAAAAATATTCAATTTAACTTTAAATATAATACTCTCTTTTCCCCCTAAAAAAATAACTAGTATAATAACCTTTGGTTAGTATTTAGCAAAAATCGAATGCAAGAATTAAAGGGTCAAATATTGGTACGATCACTTTTATTTTAGTTTTGTTCACTTTAGATCACCGATATTAAAAAAATTATAATTCATTTACTTATATTATTGATTTATTAAAGTTTGATCATTTACATTGTCGATTGTTACATTTTGTTGATTGAGTTGATTCATGTTAGTTTGATGATGACATATTAGTAAAAGGGAATAATTTTAAATTTGACCCCTACACTTTAGATATAACATTATGTTAACCCTTGAAATTGATCAAAGTTTATCGTTGTTGGTCGTCACTTACATCGTCGCCACCGATCATTGTCATCGATGACTGTTGGATCCAAAAAAAAATTAGTTCGTTTCTGTTGGTCTCCTGAACGTGTATATGGTGTTCATTTCACTGAAAAATATCCTAAACTCAACATATATAACGATAAAACAATGAGATTGATTTGTGCTATTGCTAGACTCAAATCATAACATTTAAATTTTTTATTTTTTTATTATTTCTACTTTCATACTCTTAATATTCTTGATACTTAAATTTAATATCTCAAGAAATAACCACAAGTAACGAAAAGTTACTAAAGTATAGACTAAAGGTTTTACTTTCACATGGGGATTGGGGTGGTACGTCATGTGAATGTAAACTCACACACGCACGCTGTCAACCATGTGTACATTTATGTCCCTCCAGCTCACCAAACACACATCCCACCTTCTTTCATCCTCAAATTTTCTCCTTTCTTACAACTTGACAATTCTCGTTCCCCATACATATACACCCTATAAATAGATAAATATTATTAAATTTATAAATATTATCTTTATCATATAGGGTTTTCTTTCCCCATCCCAAATTATTAAAACGTCATCATATATTCTGTGATTTTTCTCGACCTCTTATAATATATCATGAGATTGAGAAATTTGGTTGGTTGAATAAAATTATATGCTTTTAGACTATGGTTATGGGCTGTAATATGAAAAAAGGGTATAAAATAAAACATCAACTTGCTGTAAAAAGCAACCATCCACTGAGAAATGTCATCTTTTGATACTTTGTTTTCTAAAAAAAGGTAATGAGGCAATCACTTGAATGTGACTCATCGGCATGGGCTCAAATGAAATGTTCCAACGACTTGTAAACTTTTCGAACAATTATCACATCTTACACTTATCCTATTGGTTCTGTTATCTTCTAATTATGAAGTATATAGAAAAATAAAAGATGCTCTTATGCTCTACGTTATTTTTCATTTTTTTTATTTAAAAGACTTCGTATTTACGACATAAAATAAGGGTTCATTTATGGTAAGAATAAGATCCCCCCTCCCCAAAGAATAAAAAAGGATTGAAGTGGAAGAAATGAGCAATCACAAAACCATGTGCGGACCGACTTAAATTGATCGTTTATGTACAAGACATTTACATTCAGTTTTGAGTAGAATTAGAACATGGAAGCGTTTGTTTGAACCTTGAGGCATGGATCACCCCATAAAATGTATTAATTATGGTTTGAGGACATATGTTTTGACAAATTCTAAAGTAAAACCCCATAAGTCCCATATTGAGAGATATAATGGAAAGGGAGAGTAATTACAAAAAGAAACACGTTTCTCCCCCCCTCATTTTCACTTCCACTTGTTTGGATAAGAAGATAAGCTTTCGGGCTCGTATTAAAAGTGGGCCTACATAATTATTAAGAATAAACTACGTAATTTCTTTTTGAAATTTATTTTTTATCTTCTATTTTACTTACGGTACTTTTAATTTTTATAATTTATACAATGAACTTTCAAATTATTTATGTTTTGTTCACTACAAATTATTTTTATTATTATTATATGATGTGACTTTTATTATAATTATTAAAATATAAAAATAATTTAAAATAAATAATAAAATAGTATTTTCACTTCACCTTCTGCAACATCACCATTGCTCCTTCTCATCACTGTCAACCATCGTCGGCCTTCGGAATGTTTGATCTTAAATTGTACTGAGAGACTCACTTTGACATGTCGAGTTTGAGTCTGGTGGTTGTTTCATCAGAAAATATCCAAAAACCCATGAATCTTGACTAAAAAATTTCGATTTCCTCACTTTCGATCTCCTATTCATGGACTTCGGAGCATGTTATGACAAAATGGATGTTGGATTCAAATTCAAGGGATCGAGACGAAGCGACCCATGAAATCTGGAATCGAATGGCCAACATATAATGCAGTCAACATTTCGATTTTCTTACTTTTGATCGGATTTAGAGCATGTTTCGAAAAAAATGGAGGTTGGATTTTGACTCAGGGGTTGGGGCAAAGCAACAGATGAAATCTGGGATCGAACGATCACTATCTACGATTGTCGACGATGGCGTCTAACGTTGGTGAACAACGAACGGCCACCATCTGTTTTATTTTTATATTTTACATTATTTTTATATTAAATAATAAAAAATACTATGTCATACTAAAATAATAATAAATAATTCAAAATTACCAAAACATGAGTAATTCGAAATTTCAGTGAGTAAATTAAAAAAATTGAAAGTACAATAAATGAAATAAGAGAGAGAGTAAAATTTAGTGAGGAGATGTGTAATTTATTCTATTATTAAATTAGTTTAAAATATTATAAATTTTAATATCCCGATGATATGTTTTATAGGGAATATAACTTCATATATTATGATATTTGAATGCCACAACCGAAGCTTTTGATTTTGTACATAATTATTAATCTACTTTATAAATTTTAATATGCTAATGATATGCTTTTATATATTATGATATTTGAATTCCACATCCGAAGCTTTTGATTTTTGAACTAATGACACCATCACGCTAAAACAAGCAATGAAATGGAGTCTAAATTATTTAAGATGGTATAGAGAATTTTATTATTCATATTTGAACAGGAGACGTTAACGGTAATATATATTATTTTTGAACGGTAAAATAAAATATAGTTCGATAAAAATTGGATAATATATATATAAATATATTGTATGGTCAACGCTTATCAGTGAGATGTGCCACCGCGTGACTCGTAAGGTATACGGCTATACGCTACAGCAATGCATAAATTTTGGGTAAACTATCCTACTAGACACCTGATTATTGGATTTATTCTATTTTAAACCAATATAAAATCTTGTAAATTTAATCACTAAAGTTACAAATTGTTATCAATTTAATCACTGATTGTTAAGTTGATAGTGAAATAACTGACATCAAAATTTTTAAATAGATAAAATGCCATATTTAATCTTTAATATTCTTAAATTTATTAATTTGGTCTTAATTCTAAATAGACGATAACAAGTCATTCCATTGAAAGGAGACTAAATCATGTTTCCAAGATCAACTCTATATCAGCCTTGAACAGATATATCTACTCTAAAACAAGTTTCGACAACCTTTGAATCATTCATTCTCTGGTCTGGTTACGTCAACACATAAAAGATCAAATTCATTCTTGAAGATCGACTTTGAAACAAATTTTATTCATTTAACTCTCAACAACTCTTAAAACAAAATCATTCATCTAAGATTAACTACACGTGTCCCTTATATCAAAAACTTCAAAAAAAAAGGTAATCGAATAATTTATCTAAAGATTGTAACTTGATTTCTTATTAATATTTTTTTCA